TCAGATATCAGTGGTTGGGGGATTCACATTAATTTAACAGGATTCTTGCTGGCTTAGTGGGTTCTTGCTACAACTAGACTAGACTGGCCTAAGAGAGACTCAAGGATGAGCCTTAGTCAAAAACAGGGCTCGGGTGTTAAGAGTTTATTATTGGTTTGGTTTTGTCTGACCCTTTTTTCTGTTACTCTAGATTCCACATTTAAGTGAGATCATCCAGTGTTTGTCTTTTTCTTTCTGACTTATTTCTCTTAGCATTATCCTCTCCAGTTCCACTGATGTTGGCACAAATGGCAGTAATTTATCCTTTTTTATAACTGAATTGTATTCCATTGTGTGCATGTGGGTGTGTGCACATGCGCACACACCCACATACACACACACCTTTTTTTTTTTTTTTTTTTTCTGATCCACCCCTTGGGCACTTAGGCTGTTTCCATAACTTACCTATTGCAAACAGGGAAGGGGCACTAGTAGTGGGCTGGGAGTGTGTGTGTGTGTGTGTGTGTGTGTGTGTGTGTGTGTGTGAGAAAGGGTACATGTGTAAACATTTGAAACTATAACCTCTGGGACAAATAGAAAGATGTAAATGTGCTTTGCCTCAATAAACATTTTTCCCCCTTTTTTGGGGGAAAAAAAGGAAACTAAATTAACAGTAAAGTGATGGAAAAAAAACTGTTCTTTTTGCTATTGTAACTCATCTGTTAAATTCAACAGAATGGTAGCTTAATCTGTTGGTTGAAATGGGATTTGTTTGAATATAAATACTGTATGAAGAGTGGTAAAGAATAAAAGTGAGTTTAGGATGAGGAAGAAAATAAAAACAAAAACAGGGCTCACAGGATGGACCTAATGTTGGTCAGAGATTGTCTCTGTTACTGCATGTGGGCCATCAATACGTACCCATCAACAATGACACTGATAAAATTATTTTTAATAATTAAAAATACCCTCAGAGATATGGCAAATGAATGCAATGTACAATCCTGGATTGGATTCTGATCAGAACTTACTTTTCATTTTTGACATTAGTGAGACAATTGGCAAAATCTAAGTATGGTTTAGATTTGATAATAAGATTGATGGAAACTTCTATTTTGATTATTATGTAAGAGAATGTTCTTGTTGAAAATGCTCACTGAAGAATTTATTGGTAAAGGAGCATCATGTCTGCAGCTTACTATCAAATGATTTAGAAAAAATTAATTTGTAGAAAGAAAAATACAGCAGAATAGAGCAGACATAGGAAATGTCTGCATTTGGGGATTCTGGGTATATTTGTAACTTTTCTGGAAATCTGAAATTATTTCAAAACAAATATATATATATAAAAGTACAAAACACAGAGAGAGAAACAAACCATCTAAACTCAGAGGACTGAATCAAATGCCACCTCTTCTGGGAAGTTCCCCTCAACTGATCTTGCACCTCACCTAACCTGCCTCATGGTGACACAGACACTGTTTTCTAGCAATTCTTTTCAGCTTTGATTTCCACAAAGCCTTTTTTCTCTCCTCTAGAGGAAGCACCATTGGATAGAGGCTGGTGAGTTCCCGAACCCACACGCTTGGGCCCAGTGCAGGCGTAGCCACTTTCCAGGTATGGACCCTCGGTCATTACCACTCTGTTGATCTGAGTTCTCATCTACAGAGTGGGCATAAATGGATGGCACACAGCAGTCATGCAGAACTTAGGACAATGCATGCCATGATTGTGATTCTGGAAGGAGCTCTGTCAATGTCAATTTCCCTCTTGTCCCTTCTCTTGAATCAGTCACTGCCCTGGGGACACAGGTGAATATTTAAACCTAACTCTCTGATAATTTCTGTGAAATTTATTCTGGTAATTACCATTAATTTACAGTATACTCACTAACTAAAATGCAGGAACCCCTTAATGAATGTTGTTCATGGGCAACACTGTCCACACCTTTTCTCATCTGAGTATCCTATATCCCTGGGGGCTGGGGAGAAGGTTCCATCATTATCTTCTTTTTTATGGATATGGACGTGGAAGCATCCATCTCCTCAGATGATGATGTGCTTTTCTAGCTTACAGGGCTGCTAAGTAGCAGAGTCTGGCAGGATCTAATAAATGCTATTATTTATGGTAAAATTTATTGTAGCATATATACAAACAAAGACATTGCAAATGAGTCTTGCAGAGTTCCCTGTATCTCTGTCCTTATGTGCTATCATACTTACTCCACCATCCTAAAAAAGACTGTTCATTTAGCTTATCAATCTTTGATATTAGGTGCCAAGCCTGTGTTAGGCACTGAAGATACCAATCTAATGGGGTAAGGAGCTCTGATCTTAAGGGGAAAGGATTAGTGGAACAAAAATCACAAATGCAGTAAAACAGCTGCTCTCTTTAAAAATATTCTTTGCTATCGCAATGCAGATTACTCTTACATTTTTGTAAGTTTTGCCTGTGGTGATTACACTCAGTAGCCCTGAAGCTCACTGATGAGAACACGGAAGCTTCCCTCCATTGCTAATGGCATGCAAAGCCATTCAGTGATCCACAGCTCTGGAAGCTCTGCCCTGAGCCAAGTGTACCCTGAGAAGGGCGGAGAACCTTTCCAATGCAGAGGCATTCATAAATTGGTACTCCATCTCTTTTTTTCTCAAACAAAACACCCACTCCATGGCTGTAGCTGTCCTCCAACTGCAGCCCTATCATGTGTAGGGGGTTTGCCATTCCAGGGTTGGTACTTTCTAGGTATCCCTGTAGCACTCCCATGCTTCTGGCTTAGAAGCTTGACCAAACCAGCTGGGTCAGCAGTACTTCAAACTGCTGAAGACCCTTTAATGAAAGGAAGTGAGACAGACAACCTAATTTAGCAGGGAGACAGACAACCTAATTTGGGAGGGCAGCGACTCCCAGGGCCACTTACAGCAGGGATATTATTTTGCCACTGGATGCTCTAGTTACGTGGAAACCTGACATACTGAATCTGAAAATCTATCTTTCCACTATAGACGCCCCCAGACTTCCATGCACTGTGAAAGAATTGGGTAAGGTGATTGATCAAACTGTTAAACGAAGGACATCTGCTTACTACGAAAAGCCAGTCTTTCTGGTGAATGAAACACCACTGGCGGCCGTCCACAAGCCTATGTTCCAGATCTCCCTTCCACGTCTGTGCTGCGCTTGCTCTGTCACATCCTCTTTTCTAGCAGTTTCCCTCCCAGCGTGGTGCCCTGCAAAGTGCATTTATGATACGAATGAATGAAAAGGCAAAAAAATCCAATTAAGCAACACTGGGACAAGTGTCAAACAAAAGGTCCACAGGTTTGCTTTTGTGAATCCTGTAAAGCAAGTCATCGAATATCTTCAACATGAAAAGACACCGTCCAGACAGCATCAGCCTCACTGCGCGTTGCAACTGCCAGAAAGAGAGCAAGAGACAGGGGTTCGCTTTGTCCTCTGCCCTGGGATCCCTGCGCCACTCAGGTGAGCGAGTTCCGATAGGAGTTTGAGAATTGCGAACTTTCCTGATTCTTAGGGGAAGAGCTCTGGCGAGGACGGCCGGACATCCCAGCTCACAGTCGCAGCTGCAGCGCCAGGGCGGGCAAGGATTCCTAATTGTGCCGGGAGCGCGGAAACGTGGGTTGCAAAAAGGTAGAGCGCGAAGCCAGCTCCAGTGTGCCGGCCTGCTGGTGGCCAGCTCATCTGCCCAGCTTTGCCTCGCCAGCGAGCGCTCCAGTGATTTCTCCCGAGTCAAGACTCCTCCTCTTTGCTGGGATGGGTCCATTGAGGTGTCGGTCACCGCCACACTCTGCGAGTCCCACCTAGACCCTGGCGGGGGCCGTCCTGAGGGGGGGCGCCTGCGGGCACGAGGCGGAGCCATGCCTTCCCAGGGCCCGCCCCTCGGCTGCGCCGCGGGGTGATTGGACGCTGACGAAGGCCGCCTTCTGGGCTGTCCAGGGGAGTGACAGGTGGCCCGAAGCTGCTCTGGGGCTTGCGGGGCTTCGGGGTACACCCATCGGTGAGGCATGGGGGACTGTGCGCTTGAAAAGCTTCCTGGGCAGCTGGCTTGCAGGAATTTGGGCGCTCTAAGCTGATGAAAGTTTGGCTTCTCTTTTCGGAGAGGTGCCTCTCTGAGCTCGTTGGAATTCCGAGAGCATTTGGGAAACTTCACGCCCCCCACTCCTTGCTCCCTACTTTCGGGTGGCAAAGCAGTTGCCGAGTTGTTTTATTTCCGACCCCAATCGGACTCTGCAAAAATAGCCGTGCGCCCAGGCGAACGGGCCAAGCTCTGCCGCGCCGCCGCCCCGGGTCGGGTGTAGACCTAAAAATACCCGGGGCGCAGGAGCCGGAGCTCTGGGTGCGGGCGGGTCCGGCCGGGCCGCAGAGGGCGTCTGGAGACCGGGGAAAAGGCGCCCGCCTGGCCCTTCGCCTTGGCCAGGGCTGTCCCTTTAAATCCTGGAGGAGGCAAAGAGAAAAAAGGAAAGAAAGAAAAAAGACGAGGCGCCCCGAGCGGATGGTGGCTCTGCCTGCCCCCCGCGCCGCCCCCGCGCCGGGTCCTGACTGCCGCCCGCCGCCCCCGCGGGCCCTGGGTACCCCCAGCTGCGCCGCCCACTGCCACAGCCACTGTCAAAATAGAAATTCAGCGGAGCCCGGGAGGAGGTTGAGGCGCAGCAAGTGCATGTGTGGCAGGGCAGGGAGGGGGTGCCGGGGAGGGGGCGGGCGCGAGCGAGAGGCGACCGCAGACATCCGGGCCCTTTAGCCCAGTGCGCCCCCCGATCCGGTGGCGCGGGCAGCGCGGGCGCCGGGCTCGGGGCGCGGGGTTGACAGCAGCGGCGCGGGAGGCGGGGCGCGCGGAGGGCGGAGGCGCGGCGCGGGGAGGGAGGAGCTGCCCGCGAGCCCGCCGCCGCGCTGCGCTCCACACCCGCGGCGCAGCCCCGCCACGAGACTCTGACAGCCGCGCGGCCCGGGCGCTCGGGAGCGCAGGGACAGCTGGACGCGGGGGCGGCCGCGCAGGGGGACGCGAGCTCCGCGGCCCCGCGCCAAGTGCGGGATCCGCGCAGGTCCGGCGCGCGCGGAGGTGAGTGTCTCCGCGCGCCAGGCGCGGGCGCCCACTGCGAGGGTCGCGGTCTCCCCCGTACCTCGACTGCGGAGGAGGGTTTGGGGGTCGTGGGGCCCCGTGAGGGCGGCTCTGCAACGCCCACGCCGGAGAGCGCTGGCGGGGGCTGTTGCTAGGAGGCCGGCGGTCCGCGCGCCCCGGGGCGCCGGCGGGGATCGGGGCGCCCCCAGCGCGGCGGGCAGGAGGCGGGGGGCTGCGGTGGCTATTCAGGGGCTCCGTGCGGCAGCCATGCAACTGGAGGAGGCGGGAGGCGGGAGGAGGGGAGAGCCAGCGGAGAGAGGAGCCAGCGAGCGGGCGCCGCGCCTCCTGGCTGGCACCGCGGCCCGGAGCGAAGTGGCGCGCGGGGCTGAAAGGGAACTTGTGCGGGAGCGTGCGGCCTCGGGCTCGGCGTCGCCTCGGGGCCCGGGCCGGGCAGGCCTGTCTGCTGCCACAGGTGGTTCCTGCCAAAAGTTTTACTTCGCTTCTGCTGGAAAGGCGCGGGAGCGTTTTGGAGAGTGACGGTTTCCCGGGACCTCGCACTGTTTTAGCTCCAAGATTAGAAAAGGGACTGCAACGTCGGGGATCCTGCCCCTCGAGACGCGGCCCAAGGCCGTGGCGGCGGTCCCTGTCCGAGGTAGCGCCCTTGCGAGACCCTAAGCGAGACCCTGGCCGCTGCCAAATTGCAAAGTTGCGCGAAATGGGCGCACGCACACCGGGTCGGCTGCCTCGGGAAAGTTCAGCGGCGACCAGCCCCGTCCAGTGGCCCTCGCGGGTCAGCGCAGGGTCGCTCCTGGCAACACACACACAGGAAGCGTGCGCGTCTGCGCTCGAGGTGCCCTCATTTTCTTGCTCCTTTGAAAGTGAATTGTCTCTGGCCGCTGTGCTGCTTTGTTGTTGAGGCTGCTGGTCTGATTTCGTTAGGAGGAGGGCTAGGAGCAGCAAACGGAAAGCACAGTGGCAACACAACTCCCCTTGCCGTTTGAAATCTGCAGAGCCGTAGGGGCTTGTGCCCAAGCCTAGGCGGCCGGGTGCCGGGCGGAGGGGAGCTAGGAATCCGTGCGTTGTGCTGTCTGCGGAGGAAGCTGGCGAACACTGCAGTTTCTGGGGCTTCTAAGACAGAAACAGGGATAAGAGTGTGAAGGGAAGACCCCCTCCTAGAGGGATGTGCTGTGGTCCGCTCTGGGAGAGAGGCTCCGAGTCGTCCAGGGGCTTGGCCCCGTGCCTCAGCGGCGCGTTTGAATAATCCAGGGCAGTGAATTTGGAACCACCCGCGTAGGTCTGTCCTGGGCTGAAAGAAATCATTATCCCTGGAGTGGGTCTGACTCCGGGAGTGGCAAGTTGGTGTAGAATTCTGCGTGAGAGTTGGAAACTCCCAGTCCGTTCTGGCTGGTCCTGCTCCTACAACAAGTGCTTGAGCAAAAAGCATGGCCTTTGCTTTAAAGAGGGGCACCGAATTTGGAACCCTTCTTTTCACAGAGCAGTAAAGTCAGGCCCAAGGAAGGAAAGGGATTGGTACAGTGGTTAGAAGCCCAGGAAGACTAAAAATGACACCTCCTCCCAGCCCAGCAAGGCCTTATAGGACCTGAGTTCAGAGGTGCCACCTTCTCACCCCAAGCCCATCAAGGGCTCCTATCCCCCTCTTTCTATATCTACGCTTGCCAGCTGATGGGGATATTGCTGCCCTTGGCTTAAAAAAAAAAAAAAATCAGGGCTGTCATGGTAGATTCCATTCTGACTCTACCCCAACTTTTCCTGCTTCTCCTCATCCCAAATTCCTCAAACTCTTTTTGTAACAGAATGTGGCTTGATTAGCCAGAATGAGTTTGCAGCTTGTCTCACTGTTGAAGCACCCACTTTCTGTAGGATGCCAGAACTCTGTTTTCCTGGTAATTAGGTTTTACAGATATTTTTGAAAGGGAGCCCAATTCTGGATCAATTACACTTGGACACAAATGCTGTGCTGTTGTGGATACCAAATGAAAAAGATGAGCAATTATCTGGGGGTGTTGGAATAAATGTTGTTATGAGTATTTGACACAGCTATTAGACATCAATGAGTGGGTTTTCAGTGAATGTTTTTTTACGATGTATTTTATTGAGCAAACAAAGTGTCTTAATTAAAAAGAACTGCAAGTTGCCTGTTAGATTTTAGCCACTTGTTTCTTATCACTGTGTATGGGTGGGAAGGAGTTGAAGGATAAACAAAATGATTGCTGAGAGAATTATTCCCCCTCCCCCCAAAAAAGCAAAATATTCGAGGACAAGACTTATCCGTTCGTCTGTAATGTCATCTACAATCCAGCAGAATCATATTAAATCAAAGTAGGTCTGACTGGGTGTGGTGTGTCTCAATCTGTATTAGTCAGAAGTGACTTGTAAGAGAATATTTTATAAGTTTTACTGCTTTCAAGGGCATGTGGTATCAAGCATTCAAGGTTAATCCAGTGTCACTGAGTATACTTGTTCTGCTCTCGTGAACAGGTAAAAATTAATGTCTCCACAGCTGTGCTTGGAACCCAGTATCACACTGATAACACAGTGTTACTTTGACATTCGCCTTCACTGAATGCTAATGTCATCACCAAGTGGTACATAGTTCAGCCATTTGTTCATCCTGCAGATGGGGAAACTGAGGTAGAGAGCTGGGAGAGTGTTATTCCTATATTCACTGCTTTAACATACTATTGAGCTTGGAGCTTGAGATTTCTGGGCTGACTAGGGTGGAAGAGCCCCCCTAAATGGTGCTGGCAACCTTTTGCTCCTTTTCCAGCTTTGCAATTACAAAGGGGTGCAAAGGAGTGGTGGGGTTACCGTTACAACGTATGGGAGGCCGCTCACGCCAATGGGGCCTGAAGGACTTCATTCCCCACCTCTGCAGTGGGTGAGCAGTTTGCCTCCCTTGTACAGCAAGCTGTGGGAACTGGGGCGAAGAGGGACCAGCTGGCTGAGGCTGGGGCGGGGGTGTGGGATCTGTGCCTGAGTAAGGCTGAAGGGCTCTGGGCTATTTATAACCCCTCCTCCCCTCCTGGGAAGAAGAGACTCAAGGGTCTGGAACCATCCCCGGCGCTGACTTCTCCCTAGGATGGCTGTGCCCCGCTGGAAGAAAACCAGCCACCCAACCCCATGGCGGGCACTGCCTGCACTCTGGCTGGTGTGGAGGGGTCCTGCCTGCATGACTTCCTAGAACGTTAGCTGCCCTGGGGATTTAGGATACAGGGATTTCCTAGCGCCAGTGTGAGCATTTTTCCTCAGGCACTGACCCCCCCATTGCTCAACATGAAGCAGTCCCCAGAAATCTCACAGGGCAGAACATAAGTGCCTGATAAGAGGGGATAGTTGGCGTTTCTGAATAAAGACAATGATTTTTATATAGGAGGAGATTCTGAAAGTGGCAAATTGGACGTGGTTCCCTCTGGCTGTCCGCTGCAGCATGTCTGTGCTGTGCTGCTCCAGGCATGCACCCAGAGCTCTTTCCCTCCTTCACCCCTACCCCGAATACCCCCCATTGTTCCCCTTCATCCTTCTACTCTTCAACCCAACCCCAAAATCTTCCTTTGGCTTTAAATAAAAAGTACCTGCCATCCCAGTGGCTACAGCTTCCTTCCTGAAATGGATTTATTTTCTCCCCTTTGGTAGACGGAGAAGGATGGGGAGGCTGCTGGGGATGCAGGAGGCGAGGCTTGAGTCTCTCTTGGCTTCACCCTTTTGAGTAAACGAGTCTATCCAGCAAAACCATTTTAGGGTCTTGTGGGAGGCTTCGCCAGGGAGGGAAGATGTCAGTGGGAAGGCCTACATGGAGAGGCGGCCTCGGGGAAGCTCCTGGCCTAGGGTGGCGCCTGGCAACCTGGCCTCGGGGAGCTGTCATCACTCATCTTCACATCCTCAGCGCCCAGCACGAGGGCTGGATTCAGCCCGTGTCTGCCAAGTGACGTCTTGGGTTGGGCAATCTGGGTAGGCAGAGGCAGTTAGATGTGCTACTTCACTGCCATCAGCTTTGCTCCTCAACCCTGTGGAAGGGGTGGCAGGACATGGAGGGCAAGGGCTGAGAAGCTGAATGTGGGTAAGAAGAGATAGGGCTCCATGGGTGTTTTGCGGGCTCTGGGCCCAGCTGGTTGGCCTCTTCAATGGGGAGTGACAAGGCCCTCCTCTTTGGCTGTCATGGTGCAGTCAGCCTCCTGGAGCAAGCAGTGAGCGGGTGAGCTTCCCTAGGAAGGCAGAGAGGCCACTGCGCTTCCCCTTGTGTGGGCCCTCCCTCTGGGAGCTGGCCCCTGCCTGCTCTTTGACCCCCTCCACTGCTTGTCCTCTGCCCTCCCAACTCCTTTTAGTTTCTGGAACACATCAAGCTCATGTGTCTCTCCTTGGCTCTTCTCCTTGCTGCTGTTCCCTTCCTGCAGCTCTTCCCCTAACCAGCTTCCTCTTGTCCATTAGGTCTTACCCAAAACAGCACCCTGTGCTGAGTCCTCAGAGCAGTCAGAGCCACCTGGGATAGAATCCAGATTCTCCTCTTGTTGGATGCCTGTCGCTCCACCAGGGTGTAAACTCCATGAGGGCAAGGGCTTGACTGCTTTGTACCCTCACTGTCTCCTCAGCCACTGTATCCATCCTCGACATCAGGATAGCACAAGCCTATAGCAGTGCGAGAGGGAGAGGTGCTGTGTGGCATTGCCAAACTAGGGCCTGGGTGCCTGGAGAGAAATCTGCCAAGGGCCCTGCCCGCACCATCTCTTCCATCTGGAGGCAGAATGAGGCTTGTTCATACATAGTCTGATGTGAGGCAGGAAAGGAAGGTGACTTTCAGGAGGTTCGTCCAGGAGGGCCATCATCAAGTGGTGTTAGCCCCAATTCAACAAGGGTGGTTGGCTTGGCCAAGAGTTTTCAGATGGGATGTTATGAGTTGGGGAGCCTGGGCGCTGCCCCGGCTCCGGGACTGAAGTTCTTCTGGCTTGCTTGGCAATCGCCTTCCCCGCCCCCACCCCTCTCTC